GGAGCGCGGTGACGAGAGGCATGCAGGCCCCGCCGAGCGGGAGGAGCCGCCTCCTCCCGTGTGTCCCCATCCCTCTTGCGGGCTGCGCGGCCAGAGGGCCAGCAGAGCGCACCGTGGGTGAGTCGAGCCCCGAGGAGAGTGAAGACAGGCTCTGAAAGCGGCAGAGCCTGGGCGAGGGCAAAGCCAGGTTTGCCAGGGCACCGCTCAGGCCAGGGCAGTCCCAGAGATCAGCTCGTGTGTCACGTATGTCCCGTACATCCCTTGAGAGTGAGCCTGGGCTTGCGAAGGTTTGTAATCGAGCAGTGGCAAAGGGCTCTGGTCCTGTTGGAGCTACTTGTTGAAAATAGAAAGCCACATGCCTTTAGGCACTGTTTACCTGAAAAGCCTGTTGTTCCATTTCTGGCTGGAGCAAGAGGGTGCTGGCACAGCACATTTAGGGCTCGCTTCCTGCACTGGTTGGCAGGCTTGAATCAGCATTTGAGTCTGCTTCTGTCTGTGTTGTGAGCTTGGGCAAATGGGGAGAAAAGAACCCTCTTAGTGAGAAAATAAGCTGCAGAGCTTCTTAAAACTCTATGTTGCAGCCTGAGCACCCACATGATAGCTTTCTTTTGCAGCTCCTATTTGGGTTTTTGCTGCCTTTTTTTTTTTTTTTTCCAAGTAGTATGCGTATTGTATAAAGAGACTTGTAGCACCACTGGCCGGGTCACTGCCCTATAAGTTCTGTTGGTGAGCCATCTGCAGAGTGCCTCACTATATCCCCCCAGCTCCGTTCCCAACTCTCTGAGACAGAGATGAGCTGTTGCCACAGTAGTCTCTGTGCAGTACAATCTGTACAGCTTTTTGTCTGTGGTACAAACCAAAACAACGTCTCGCCCTAACGCCATCTTCTGCTTCCTTCTTTCAGATGGGGCATCCTCTTCTCCCACCCACGGGACTTCACACCCGTCTGCACCACAGAACTTGGCCGGGCAGCAAAGCTGGCCTCCGAGTTCAGCAAGCGCAACGTGAAGATGATCGCCCTCTCCATTGACAGCGTCCAAGACCACATGTCCTGGAGCAAGGTATGGGGTATGAGGAGGCGCAAGGGGAGCTTGCACTGCTGCCTTTGCTTTGAAGGCCAGAGGAAGAGCCCACACAGAACAAAGCAGAGGCTCAGAACTGCATATCTCAAATCCCAAAGCATGTAGGATAGGAGTGGCTAAAATTGAGGGCAGGAATAGGAAGGTCTGCTCCATCTTCTTGGAGCACTCCTCAAAGTCCAGGGCACTTAAGGTACTAACACTCTGAAATAAGAGGAAAATGGTATTACTGCTCTCCCACCAATATCTCAAAGAGTAAAACATAAGTGAAGGTGGTGCCAAAGCTCAAAGGAAGGTGGTCTCTCCATAGACCCTCAAAAAGTTCTGTAATAAGACAGGAAAGGAGACATCAGAAGTGAACAGGCAGTCTTCAAAGGGTGCAATTCATGCCCAGGCAGGGAAAAGAAAACAGAGAACAAAGAAGGACATGTTGAACTTAAAACCACAAGTAGAAGAATGTGAAATGTAAAACCACCATAAAAGGAGTATTTAAAAAAAAAAAAAGATGGGAACGAAATAGCTTGCTGAAAGGACATAAAAGAAACTAATTAAAAACTTCAGATGCAGCCTCAGCAGTGGCGCGCTCCCAGGGAGTAAGATTCTAGAGCTCATAGGCGGCAGGGGTGTGAAATGAGCATTTCAGATGGATATGGCCAGAGGATAAAAATCCCTGGATAAATTACCCACTTCTTTCATTGCTCTTAACATTGAAAATATTTTCACATTTTCCAGGGGTAAGACGTGCATGCAATAAGAGGTAGTAAAAGTGAGAAATTTCCCCACTCCAGCATTGTTTCATGACTGACTGACTGGCTTTAGAAATTACTTAATTGCCTTTTTGCTTAAATTGACCTTCGTACCTGAGGGGTGCATGGCTGATGTCCCACCAGGCCTCAGAATGGCCTGAGAAAACCAGCATACAAATCCCACCCCAGTAAATGAGATTTCCATGCCTATCAAACTGGCTGAAACCACCAGTTAAATTAGCAGATAACATCCCATTAAATATAGCAGAAAGTTTGTGCTTTTGTAAGGGAGTCTTACCTCAAGGTTGGCTAAAGCCATGTGAAGTTATTGCTGGCTTTTATGAAGTCTTAAGATTTCCAAGAAGCTTTCAACAAAAGCAGCGTTGTGAAGGGTAGGCTCTTTTCTGCAGGGAGGCAGGAGGAGGTGGTAAGTTGCATCAAAGGAGAGAAGCAGTGAGCTCCCTCGAGGGTCTGCGGGGATGCATGGGGTTCAGCACACTCAGGTGATCTGGAAAAGATAAGAACAAGCTGACTTTGCTGACACTACAGAATTATTTTAGCACAACCTCAGGTAAAATCAGATGAAGGTGCAGAACAGTCTGTCAACACTAACTGATGGGAGGCAGAGTAACACATTTAGAAAACCTTCCAGAACAAGCACAGAGAAAGGCAAAAGACAGCAGTTCAAGCTGCAGTGAGCTTTCTGTCAGGCTGGGAAAGGCCTCACAGGTGGTGGTTTGGAAATGTCAGCTCAGCACCTGTCAAAAAGAAAACTGTGGAGGTCCCCCAGAGCAAAAGATCCAACTGGTGAGGACAAATCCATAGCAGAATGGAGCCTTCCATGCAGCCTGTGTTTGAAATAATCCATCTCACAGGCTACAGGAGAACAAGAAAAGGTGCAGAGGAGGAACAAAGCTGCCTGAAGATTTGGGCAGGTCTGCTTCAGTGCAGAGCAACTGGGGCTCTCTGGCCTGGGAACAGGAGGACATGTCAGGCTGCGACACTGTCAGCAGTATGGGGAGCAGTGAACCTCCATGCATGCATCATGGAGGGTATAAGAGAGGACAGGAATGTGATTTCTCTGCTCTTAGACCTTGCCTATACACATGATCCTTTTCCTTTGTCCTTGACAAAGCTTAAAAGAATTTCAGATAATGTGAAGAGCTAAACTGGGAAGGCAAGTGTTTGGGCCTACCACAAGGCTGAGACTGGGGAAAGTGCCCTAAATGTTCTCCTGCCCAGCCTCAGGGAAAAAAAGAGCTTAACAGAGATACAAAGCCTTGGCAGAAGCTGCCTGTCTGGACAAAAGCAGACTTCATTGAATGTTAGACTGAAATCTAGAAACTGCAGTTTCCTTCACTAGATCTTAGAAGTCCTAGGGCTGAGCAAAACTTTGGGCAGGCCTCTCTGTGCAGCACTCCTTTACATACCTATGCTTGCTTTTTGGGTGAAGCTTCTAGCAGTAGTGAGAGGATGAAGCCGTTTTTATCTGGAGCACAGCTTGTGTGGAAGCAAGTGGTCAGGAGAGATGGCTGAAATTCTGCATGAAACAACAAAGAAACTTCTGCTTGCTTTGCTGCCAAATTTCAGTGGGCAGATGGGGCCTGAAAGGTGAGACCAGAGTATAGCAAATAATTCTCATGTTACTGCTCAGCTCTGCTTTCTCAGTCAGAGATGTCACTGCTGTCCTTAGCCATCCCTAGCCAAGACCGAGAGGCTTGCTCCAGGACTCAGAGCAAGCCTGTAGCTCAGCCAGGGTTTGATCCCACTCTCCTACCTCCCCAGTCTGTGCAGTGCTTCTCCAGGGGTTGGCTGAATGCGTGAGCAGCATTGACTGGCATGTGCTATGCATGTCAGAGAAGGCTTCAATGCTCTCTGGCTACTGATGCCTTCACCTTGGTGAGTCAGGAGTGAATAAATCACCGCAGTGATGTCTGGTTTCAGCTTGGATGCTGGAAAGAAAATAATTCACAGGGGAGTAAGCATGTTTTGGGTGTCTTACTGCAAAATATGGTGGGGTTTGTTAGGTTGTTTTGTACAGAGATCCCCAGATCATGAAATTACGTGCATTTTTGAATGAGTTACAGTCCATAGGATTCAGATACTGCTTCTCAGAAACTCTTCATCCTCTAGCCCCAACTCTGAAGAGAGGAGTGGGGGGATGTCACTGTTTGACTTTCATCTACAGCCTCCTGTGACACTGTGGGGCATTTCACCTGGGCTGGCCTCTCCAGCTTTGCTTTTGTTCCCTACTCTGCTTTGACAAGGCAGGTCTGCAGGAGAACAGAACCAGTTCCTTCCTTCCAAGGCAGGCCTGACCACAACACAGCCAAGATAAACAGCCCTTTTTTGCTGTGTAGTGCTGACTCAGACAGACCTTGGGAGAAAGCAAGTGAAGAGAAAAGCTGGAAAGGCAACCTCTTGCCACATGTGCACCACTTGTCCTGCTTGCAGCATCCCGAGCAGCTGGGGGCAGCTTTACAGCCCCTTCTGCCTGCTCTTGCTGCCCCTGCAATGCTGAGCAGCAGTGGGCAGTGTCAAGGGGCAGCATTTTCAACCGTGCCGTTCTTTGCATGCCTCTGAGTAGGACCCAGCCTTTTCCCCTATGTTCAAAGCCTGGGGAAGGCAGAGAGACTTGTACGTTCAAATGATCAGCTCAGATGATAACACACCATAGTGGCGCGTGGGAAGCTTGTGTCAGCACTGGAGTCAGTTTTGTCTCCTTGTAGCGTAAAGAGGATGGAAGAAATGGGCAGCTCTGTTCTGGGGCAGAAACCACAGATTAAACTTGCTTTAATGTTGGCAACTGATCTGCTTGTGCTGCCTTGAGCAGGCTTGTCCCAGCCCTGCTGTGGTTCAGCGTGACCTGTATGGGTGGTACTGCAAACTACAAGAGTAACCTGACTGCTTTGGCCAAGTCCAGACCAGACTCGGAGACGCTCAAAACACAATTTCGCTGTGAAGCAGGTCAAGTTTGGACTAGCACAGGGAACAACCTCATAAACTATGGTCACAAGGGAGAGCCTGCAAAGCTGTGGAAGAGTTTTGTCCTCTGTCCCAGCCATGGTTCACCTGCACTCAGACTTTCTCTCCATTTTCACGAGTGTTTATTTAAGCAAGCTAGGAGTGATTTGCTCAGTGGAACTAGGTCCTCATACAAGACCTGTGAAGTGTTCAACACATTATCTTTGTTAGCTTTAGAGTTGCTGGTTTGATCTGTCACTAGAGAAACTGTACCTTAAGAGTACAGTCCAGTTCAGGTGTGACACCAACACATCTGTCAGTAGTGCTAGATTACTTACCGGGAGAGAGTGGGAAGAGGGCCACCTGTGTTCTCAGGGAAAGGTGGTTAAATCTCCCTGTGTCACTAGCATGGGCAGGACTTCCCTATTTCTTCATACCCACTGCCTGGGCAAAATAGCAGTTCCAGAGGTGAGCCACAGGGTGTGAGCATAGACAGCCTAACAACCAACCTCTAAGAATGTGGCAAAGTCCAGCCTGGCATGCAGGTTTCTGGTTTGTCACCTGGTTTCTGGAAGCAGAGAAACTTCATGGAAGGCTGTGCTGTCCCAGCCTGCAACCTTTGGGCCAAGTAAGTCACAAGCTCCCATAGAGCAGCTGCTGAACACATTTCTGCATGGCCCCATGCAGGAGCTTGCCCCACACACATAAAGTCTGTGTGAGCTCCGTGTCTGGCCTCTGCCTCCTGTGGTGGTACTCACAACAAGGAGCATGAGCAAGCCAATGATTTTGTTTCTGCAGGACATCAATGCTTACAATGGGGGGCAGCCTGAGGAGAAACTCCCCTTCCCCATCATTGCTGATGCAAACCGGGAGCTGGCTGTCAAACTGGGCATGCTGGACCCAGATGAGCGGGACAAGGACGGCATACCCCTGACTGCTCGCGTGGTGAGTACCTTGCCCTGGAGTACTGCTGCACAACAGCCTTCTCAGCAGTAGGCTTCACCTGCTGTCCTGCTCTGTGTCTGTGGGGCTGGCCTTGAAGATGGGGGCAACTTACCTGGATGGGCATGACCATCGTCAGGAACTATGTTGACTTCCTTGGGCTAGATCCATGGGTTGTGCTGCAGGAAGAGGCTGGTGTAGCACTGGCTTGCTGGAGCTGGCAGCAGCTCCATCCACCAGCTCATCCTGGCTGTGCGTGTCCTAACACAGAGGGGACAAAACAGCTTGATCTGCTGGACTCCTGTGCTTGCATGAGAAAGGCACAGGTCAAGGGGAAGTAACATTTCAAGTAACAAACCAGTGTGGCATTGCATACAGGAGCACCCAGAGGAAACACTGTGTTCCCTGGGCATCACTTGTTGCTCTAGATCCTCACCATGGCATCTCCCCTGTCCCAACACCTTCGATCAAGCATGCCACCTCCTAGGAAAGGGAGGAGCAGCAGGCTGAGCAGATCCAGCAGGCCAGTTGGATTTTACCCAGTGCCTGATCCTGTCTCCCTGTACTCAGGTGTTTGTTTTTGGCCCGGATAAGAAGCTGAAACTCTCTATACTGTACCCAGCCACTACTGGGAGAAACTTTGATGAGATCCTGAGAGTGGTGGACTCCCTGCAGCTGACAGCATACAAGAAAGTTGCTACCCCTGTGGACTGGAAGGTGAGGAGGGTGCAAAGCTCACAGCTGGGCACTGAAAACATCCATTGAAACATCAACCAGCCTCCCTTCGAGGGTGATTCACAAGGTGGGGAAAGCTGCTGAGGTCCTGGGTTAGATTTCCAGCCCAGGCCCCAGGGCTGCTGCAGTCTGGAATCGGCCATAAGAACCTCCCTTTCCAGCCTTCAGTGCCCAGTGCCAGTAAATACTCAGCTTGGCCTTTCTGGCTATCGGTACTTGAGCTTTGGGCCAAGGCAGGTCCTGCCCTGTGATAAAGCAGGGCATTACCAGGTGTCAGCATGCCTTAGTCTGCTCAAAGCCAGCACAGCAGCAGGCATGGGGCACCCATCTCTTGGCCCACTCACTGCTCTCCTGCCTTTGAACCAGGAAGGGCCAGCGTGGGCACAGCCCAAATTTACCCAGCATGTACACAGCAGAGACCTATCCTTATGGAAGACTGCTAGTTGAAGTTGCTTAGTTGTGGTCCCTCCTGCATCTTGAGATGCCCAAATTCCCTTCTTGTTACTCCCTGTTCCCGTGGGAGTGCTGTGGGAAAGAGCTGGCCTGTGGGATCCCATTGGCAGGGCTGGCAGAAGGCACGGTTCTCCTGGTGTAGCTCCCCCTCAGTCCTCACTGCCAGCTCCAGGCAGAGCTGCAGGGGACATGCCTGGGGCACTGGGGCTACGTTCCTGGGGAGGCAGGGACGTGCCAGCTCTGTGCAAGCCTGACAAGCTCCTCTGCTGCTCTCATGGTTTCCATTTGCTCCCCAGCCTGGTGACAGTGTCATGGTCGTGCCTACCTTACCTGATGAGGAAGCCAAGAAGCTCTTTCCCAAAGGAGTCTTCACGAAGGACCTCCCATCAGGCAAGAAGTACCTGCGTTATACCCCGCAGCCGGAGTGAGCGGGTCTGACCAACCATCCTGCACATCATTTGGCATCAGGAGCCTTTCTTAAGCCCAGCTCCTGCCTCCCTAACACTGTGCAACCAGCAGCCTCATACCGTCAATCCGATGATGCATCGCAATACTAAACCAATCCTCTCCATCCCTTTCACCCCACATCTTCTAAAAACTAAACCCCCATGTGTTTTCTTGCCTTGAATCAGCCCCACAAGGAAGAGGTTAGCAGACCAGTGGGGGCTTCAGGGCTTGTGCTGTGGAGTCTCTCCTGTTCAAAACCAGCTGAGCTTTTCCCGGAGGCACAGTGAGAAGCATGGTGTCAGCAGCCAGGCCCCAGAGGGGTGTCCTGCTCAGTTCACCCACCTCCCATCAGGGAGTTTTGGGGGCTCCAAACTGCTGTGTGCCTTTCGGAGCAGCTGTCACTAATGCATTAACACCTTTATCTGGTCCTGTGCGCAGGGGAGGAGCTGCAGAGCCAAATCTCACACTTCTTAACTGCTTTTTCATCTCTTGCTAGAAGTTGTTTTCAGGTTTTAGGGAAGAGGGAATAGAGCGAATAAACTGATCTTCAGTAGTACCTGCAGTATCCCCTGTCTGGCTCTGCTGGCATCCATGGCACCCTGCACCATTTACTATGTTCCCCTGTGGCTGTGCTGATGGGATATGTGCCTGTGTTCCTGGGTGGGTGGCAGCAGCACAGACTGACCTTATTCTTGCTCTGTAAATAAGGCACTTCGGAAACACAGGTAGGGGGCATCCTCCACTGCTTCCCAGGGCATGAGTGGGCATGATACAAGCCATGTGAACTCCTCCCTGCTCTCCCACACCTACATCTCAGGGATTGCGAAGAGATGAGCAACATTTTAATACAACACAAGAAACCTGCTCACTGAATAGCACATAGGCTGTTTGCCAGCATCTCTTAGTGCCCAGTGCACTGTTAAAGAAATTGGTTGGCTCAGGGCACAAATTTACCCCACAGCAAGTGGGGACTAGTAGGGTTGATGCTCATGGTGAGCAACACACTGGATGCAATGAGATACCCTCCAGCGTTCCGCAGACCCTAATACTGGGGCCACACCTGGGATGTTGCCCATCAGTCCTTGGAAGACATCCAGAGCCACCAGCTCCTCCTGCCAGCCATCACTGTCTTCCTTCACACCAGCATGCAGGCCAAGCTACCCTGAGCACATCCTTCCCCAAACATGGCTGTGTTTCAGAGAGCTTCCTCTCATTACTAAAAAGAAGTGGTTATATTATCTTCAGGAGCTATGGATTGGATATTGGTATTTTTTCCCCAAATAACTTTTAAATGAACCTTCACCCTATGTAGTATTTTTACTAGAAGATAAAAACACCTGGGTTGAATTTTGTTCCCCCTCTTTCACTGTGCAAGAAGTGGGAGGGGGAACTGCAATTTAAGGGGGAAACCTCTCTTCTGTGTAGTTGTCAGCCTTATCGAGCTCACTCAGTAGCTTCCCTAGTTCCCCTCAGCTGGGCTGCACGAGCTCCTGGGTTTCTTGCTGTTCCCTCAGCACACAGCCCTCCTCTTGATCTGGTTTCCTAAGGGAAAAAGGGCTGCCTGCTTCATGCCCCTAGTTCTCCAGCTGACTGCCCAATTTTTTGGAAGCTTGAGGACACAGCTCCACAGCAAACTTTGTGCAAACAGGCTGCTCTGAGTATCCCGTGGGAAAGGGCACTGCAGGGTGAGCACAACCTGTCTGGGATACCAGAGAAGCCACCTGCAAGTCAGGACAAGGGAGAACTAGTCTTCCCACCAGACCCAGGGACTTAAAGCTGGCAGGGGCAGACACTGGTCCCATTGCTGAGGCAGACAGGGAGTGACAGCCCATGAATTCCTGCCTGTTCCTGCATGTGGCTGTGGTGCAAACCAGACAGAGAGACTCAAGCAAATACAGCGTTTGGTCCAGTACAGCTCAAGTGGTTTTCTTTTAATCCCAGAGAAGTAAAAGCAACATTTGTTGGTAATAACATCCAGAGACAGAAGTCCAAGCCCCCTACTCAGTAAAGTCATTTGTGTTTAAGGCACTCTGCAAAACCAGCTTTCCTCTTCTCCTTCTGATTTTCCCCATACGGCAGCAGAATACCTGGTTTGGTCTTTTCTCAATAGTGACGTCCACGCATCCTGGCTCTTCTCACCATCTCCAGGAACTGGCAACAGCAAATCCAGCAGGAGCCGACAGAAATGCCAGGAGGCCGGATCAGTGAATACAGATGGGCACAGGAAGAAGCACAGTGCCCAGGGAGGGGGCACTGGGCTTCGAGCTTCCGCAGGAAAAGGACAGGCACTGGGTGTCCTCCCTGCAAGCACCGATGTGATTCCCCTTCCTTTTCTCTCCTGCCTCCGAAAGGAAATGGGAGTGGGGGGGCCTTCAATCATCCCTCCCCAGCGGTGCTCCCAAACACGCAGCAGCACCCCAAAATGTGGGGACCCAGCTGCCCCCACCGTGCAGCAGAAATGACCCCCCCAACTTCCAGCCGTCAATAAATAACAATAAATAACTTAAACCTCAAATAAATAAATAAATAAATAGTTAAATAGCTAGATAAATAAATAAGTGACCCAAGGACAGGATGGAGGGGAGGGGGCACCGCAAGGCTCAGGGCAAGGGGATCATGTGGGTGGGCATTTCCATGACCTGCTCCTCCCTGAGATAATGGGGTGCTAGTGCGAAAGGGGGGTGCAGGGAAGGCATCCCGTGGTGCAGTTGGACAACTGAACCCAGGGGTCTGGGTACTCGTCCCTGGCATAGGCTCTGTAGCCAGGGCTCCTGCTCCGGGTCCCCATAAGTATGGCTGCAGGCCACAGGGATGTGAGTCAAACATGGACTTGCACACAAGCTTTCCCCTGCTGCCTGCCTCCCTCCCTCCCTCTCCTCCCCTTCATTTGAGCATCAAGAGCCCTATGCCTGGGCTCCACCAGTGAGTGCTACTGAGCTCACCCGGCACCTGCAGCCGAAGGGAACACGCACCTTTTGTGAACATGCAAACTGCCTGCATGTTTCTGCAAACTATTTTCATAAGGTGGGTTTTTTGTTTTTTTTAAACAGGGAAATGCCCATGTAGACAACCCACGCATCAAACCGAGTGAAGTGCATCAAACAGAGTTAAGTACATCAAATCCAGCCATCAGAAAAGGATCAGGCACTGAAGGCCAGCAGAAGCCCAAAGGGGTGAGCGCAGGTGTGGCCCCGGGACTCAGCCAGAGCCTGCCTGCAGGCTGGGGCAGCCCTGGGAGCTCAGGCACAGGGCTATGGCCAAGCACGGAGTCCATCACAACACCACGCAGCACCAAGCACCTCCCTGGGGACGTTGCAGACATACATGGACTGAAATGGCAGCCACTGCTGTCCCAGTGTGGCAGCAGATGATGCGTGGAGGCTCTGGCTGTGCAGCACATCCCAATGAATTCAACAGCACCCCTCACCAGCATCCCCGCTCTCAGCAGGCATGATTGTGGTGCCACAGCAGCTCTCCAGGCTGATGGCCACATGCAGCCCCCGAGTCCCGGCTCTTCCCCACGGGTTTTGGGTTCCCATCTATTGGGGAACCCCTTCCACTGGCTTTTTAGCTCTGATGCTGCCAGAGACATTTCTGTCCCACTGGGTCAAAAGTACACATCTGCCTTATTTCCAACCAGAAGGTACTTATCCCTTGTCCTCTCACAAAGACTAAAGAAAATTGTATTTATAAAGTTTCTAACCCCTCTCCATACATGCTTTTTGAGAAACAAAACATCAGTGACAGCAAAAGCTGCCATCAATCCCATATCAGAACAAAACCATGGGCAGAGTTTCATAAGAGTGGGATATCTTCCCACACTGGCAAGCTCCCAGTGGAACTTTTGCTCCAGAAAACACAGCAAACCGAGGCTCAGAGCCCCCTCTCCCTCCAAACCTTTCTCAACGCAAGGCTGTAGCCCCCAGCAAAACCCAGGTGTAGGCACCAAAAGCAGCAGGTTCCCACCCCATAGTGAGGCCAAGCGGGAGGAGCAGGACCACCGGGCCCGGCATGGGGAACTATGCATCAAGGCGTCAAAATGCAACGCTCCCAAAGGGAAAATTAAATAAAGAATCCACTCAGCAGCAAACACAACTGAGAATAATAAATAGCACAGGGATTTCACATGGATTTTTGGTCTAAGATGCCTGGGGAGCTCCTTTGCTGGTAGGGACCAGGGTACATACACATCCTGTCCTGTAAAAGCACAAGCCATGACTGAAGCTTTGCAGGTCTGCCACGCTGTGCAGAGCGATGCCACAGAGATGTGCCAGCACACGGCAGGGAGCAGAGCAGCGCTGAGGGCAGCGCTACTAATACCACACAAAAGGCTTTGCATGGAAGTGCCAAACACAGCAACCCTCCCCAGGCTCTCCTGGCAGCAGGGCAGAAGACAGAACCCTCCCAGTGGGAATTATCCACATCCCCAGGGCAGTGCAAACCTCTCATGGCGTGAAGGCAGGGGCATGAGCTGGAGGAACCACAGGGCTCATGCCGGGACAGAAGACGGAGCAGGGAAAGCAGCAAAAGTCATAACCATCCGCCCAGAAGCAATGGGGTGCCTGTGGCATCAGCAGTGCAGCCATGGCTTACACCTCTGTTGCATCTCAAGGGCAAGGTACTGGGAGCTGCGGGTTGCAGCCCACAGGACCACACCACCCCGTGGACCATAGGATGCCAGCCATCCAGGCAGCGAGGAGAAAGGCAAATGAAACCTCCTGTTACCTTCCAAGCACCTGCAGCAGCAGGAGGCAATGCCCAGGCAGCATGCTCACCTCTCCTTCCCAGGCAAACCTAGGCCTGCCTTGCACAGCCTCTGCTCACATCCCTGCCTTCCAACCCATGGAAAGGAGACCCCCATCCCTGCAGAGCCTGGGGATTTACTGCAAGGCATGCCGTCCTCTCCATCAGCGTCCCTGCCAGTAGCCATCCTGCTCTGTGGGTGGCTGAGAAGGAGAAGAGTCTCCACCTGAGCCAGAATTTGTATGGAAAATGAGCAAGCACCTAACTTCTTGCAAAGGACTTGAGTCTGCAGTGGAAATGTGTGAGTCCCAGGGCAC